TCGACCCGAAACCTTGAAGATTGACATCTTTAAGTATAGGGGAGTCGAAGAGGACTCCCTCTTGAGATGGTTCGTCGAATTGGATGACGCCACAAGGGCGCGTCGCATCGACGACGGGGATATGCAAGTTGCATTTGCCCAGTCAAATCTGACAGGACGTGCCAAGACTTGGGCACTGGGGCTCACGTTGCACGACCCATATGCGTTTGGGTCGTTGGAAGTCTTCAAGTCGCGGCTCAGACAAACGTTTGAACCGCCTAGAGCTGAGTTCAGAGCTCGAACCGAACTCTTGAAGCTCAAGCAGGGTAAGCGTGATGTGCACGCTTACGCTCAACATATACGACATCTCACAAGTTGTATAAGTTCCAACCCGGTTGATGAACACACGTTGGTTTCGGTGTTCATGCAGGGTCTTGCGGATGGTCCCGTCAAGACTCACCTGTTCCGACTTGAACTAGATTCACTAGAACAAGCCATTTCCATTGCGGAACAGGAAGACTTCAGTCTGAGACAGGCTCGCGCCAGCTCGACATGATATCGTCAACCGAGACGATATGACAGCGGAGGTCCAGAGCCGATAGAGAGCGAGAAGGCTCGCTCTACAGACTACAAAAAGTTGCAGAAATGCAACAGATGTCAAAAGACAGGACACTACGCTTACGAGTGTAGTGCCCCTCGTCCAGTGTCTCGCAATACTGGGCGTAGTGACCGTCCACCCATGAGAAAAGGGCAGGGACGCGGGTCCGCTGTTGGTGCAAAGACGCAACAACGGGAAGGACCGTCAAAAAACGGACAGGATCAGTAGGTGCGGAGCACCCTACTGATCCAGCAACGTCAAGAGAATTTGTAGGCCTCTTGATGAAGGTTGCTCCCAACACACAAACGTTGTGCGTTGCTGCTCTAGGTAATGAGATCTCACTCATTACCTTGAAACTCGAAGTGACGAATAAGTTGTCCCTTCGAGCTCTAGTCGATTGTGGGGCGTCCAACAATTTTGTGCGACGCCAATCGCTAGAAGATGGTCACTTTAAATTCAGTGAATGTGACACACCTCCTACGAGGATGACGGTACGTCTTGCGACAGGCGCATCCGTAACCGTCATGAAGCGTATAGTGGATCTTCACTGTACGCTAGAAGATACCCAATATGACGATGACTTCATCGTGTTGGATTTGGATGACAAATTTGTTGTCATCCTTGGAATACCGTGGCTCAGAAGGTACGAACCACGGGTAAACTGGCAACATCGAACAGTAACGATGCCTGCCGCTTGTTCATCAGATGGCCATCTGATGAACGTTTTGGAGCGTCCACAAGCGTGTGGATGTGCTACGAGTGAGTGCGATGGCCTCACTTGTGGTACGGTCGTTAGTACGACTGCACAAAACCTTAGTGTGACAAACGGTTGCACTTCGGAGCAAAGTTCCGGCGGCTGTGAGGAAACACAGGCTGCGCCGAAGGTCCACCACTCGAATAAGTCGAGTGCACCGGGACAAAGATGTATCCCTAGCGGGGAACATCTAGAAGAGAAACAATCGATCGCTCAGGTTAAGCGAAACGATAATCCTAGATCGACTGGAGAGTCTTTCGTAGAGGATCTCGCTGTGGTTGCGCAACCCCAGCTAGAGGAAGTAAAGGGAATAAGTCCCGATGATACAAATACGGCGGAAATAAGTTCCCCGAAACCCGCGGGAATAAGTCCCCGGGAAGCCGAAGGAATAAGTCCTTCGAAGCCTGAGGGAATAAGTCCCCAGGAAATGACAGAGACATTGAATGTCATAGTCAATAACGGATCAAGTGTAGGCGCTTATACACTTGATCTGATTGCGCCTCCGAAGTTGACTTCGGATATCACTCAGTTGCCAACGCTCGAACATAAAAGGTTCTTGCGTGATCTGCGGAGTGGCAAAGTCAAGCAGATCTGCATACTCGTCGCTGACGACGAGTGTGTAACCGACATAAGGTCAGCAACAGTGTTCACTGAGAACGAGAGAGTTCTCAGTAGTTCATCTATGGACGAGAGTGTCCTAGATGAAAAGACACGAATTGAGCGATATGACTCCCAATCATGGGAATCGCTCAAGAAAAATCCTCTCTATGAAGATTTGGTTGAATTCAAGGATGTATTCCCTGAAACTGTTCCGTGCGAATTACCGAAGGATAAAGGTATTCGACACGAGGTCGAGCTTAAACCAGGCTCGAAGTACTGTGTCATGAAGCAGTGGCCACTGCCTCGTGAACAAGTACTTGCGATCGACAAGTTCTTTGCCGATCGTTTAGCTGCGGGCCATGTGAGGGAATCAACTTCCCCACATAGCTCTCCGACCTTCTGTGTGCGAAAAGCAACAGGAGGGTGGCGGATAGTGCACGCGTTTAACAAGTTGAATGCTGCAACGGTACCGGCTCAGACGCCGATACCGAGGAAGGACGTAATCATTGATGGTATGTCAAAGAGTACCATCTTTTCGTCCATGGATTTGATGGATGGCTTCTATCAAATCCTTATGCGAGAACGGGATATACCCTATACCGCAGTTAGCACGCCTAGCGGCATGCTCTGGGAATGGCTAGTAATGCCACAAGGGCTTAGTAATGCCCCTGCCACGTTCAACAGATGTGTATCACATCTGTTGAGACCAATACGAGAATTCGCGCCGAGTTATTTCGATGACGTATTCATCCATAGTCGAGCTATGGATGGAAAGTCGGACGTTGAGGTTCACAGGTACCACGTCCGACAGGTTCTTACAATCATGCGAAAGCATCAATTGTATGCAAACCTCAAGAAGTGTATATTTGCAGCAAGCGAAATACCACTTCTTGGGTGCATCGTTGGTAAGAACGGTGTACGTCCTGATCCCGAAAAGATCAAGGCGATCACCGACTGGCCTGTGCCGGTTGATGTCAAAGGTCTTCGAAAATTCCTTGGGCTAGCGGCGTATTTGCATAAGTATTCACGCAATTACGCCGAGATGACTGTGCACCTCTCTCGTTTGTTGAAAAAGAACGAGAGGTGGTTATGGAACGCTGAATGTCAGCGCTCCTTTGATGGTATCAAGCAGAGCTTGATACAATCCCCAGTCCTAGCAATAGCCGATCAGGACAGGCCATTTCATGTGGTCTGTGATGCCAGCGATTTCGCAATCGGCTGTGCATTAATGCAGTACGATCTTGAAGGCGTTGAACGCGTCGTCTGCTATCAGTCGCGTCAGCTGCAACCAGCTGAGCGGAACTATCCAGTGCATGACAAGGAACTCCTTGCCATGAAGTATGCACTCGCGAAGTTCAGAGTCTATCTATTAGGAGATAGACCCTTCATTGTTTACACTGACCATGCGTCATTACGCACGGCAGTGAACAGCCCGCACCTTTCACAACGAATGGCGCGGTGGTTGTCATTCTTTGCAGAATACAACTTTACGGTCGAGTACAAACCAGGACGACTTAATGTCGTCGCTGATGCACTCTCACGTCGTCCCGACTTTGAACCAGTCGTGAAACCCAACAGTGAGACAGTCACTGTTGCGGTTATGACGTCCTCAGTCCCATCTACAACGTTGTATGATGATGTGAGGCGGGCATACGCCCAAGATGGTGAGATTGTGAAGTTGTTGACACATCTCTCCCAACCATCTCGAGAATCGTTGAAACGATTGTCGTCTGCGTATCGATCTGCATCAGATCGATACACTACTCGTAACGGTTTACTGTATTATACAGCCGTTTCTGGTGACACACCACGTGTTGTCATTCCAGATGATACTGATCTGCGTTTGCGGATCATGTTCGAGTATCACGATGCTCCTATAGGAGGACATCGTGGCCGAGAGAAAACATATCTCACGGTGAGTCGAGACTTTTACTGGCCCCGCCAGTATCAGTTTGTGCGAAAGTATGTTCGCGCATGCGAAGTCTGCCAACGAGTGAAGTCAAGTCCTTCACTGCGTGCACCTTTACAGCCTCTACCGGTTCCGGCTGAGTGCTGGGAATCCATCTCAATGGATTTCGTCTTCGGGTTACCCAAAGACGCACGCGGGAATACGGGTATTCTCGTATTTGTTGACAGATTCAGCAAAATGGTACACCTTGTGGCTGTACCAGAGACAATCACGGCAAGTGGCTGTGCTTGTGTCTTTATTGACACCATCTTCCGACTTCATGGGTTGCCCCGTGAACTCGTATCAGACAGAGATCCACGATTCACTGCTGATTTCTGGCGTTCCGTGTTCAAATCACTCGGAACGCGCTTGAAGATGTCTACATCTGATCATCCAGAGTCAGATGGTCAGACGGAACGTGCCAATCGTGTCCTTGAAGAGATACTTCGAGGATACGTACACTCCTTTAAGAGTTGGAGTGAGTTCTTGCCAATGGTAGAGTTTGCCATTAACAACTCGGTGCATGCGTCCACGACACATACACCGTTTTACGTGAATGGCTTACGCCATCCGCGTGTACCCACCTTACTAGAGTGTAACTCTGGTTTAAGGGGGGGAGGGACTCGCGCGAGCAAAAACCGATTTGGTTCACGCTCATCACGCTCTGACGAAGAGGTCATTGCGTTTGATGCCGATATCGATAACATCGATATCGAAGAAGATGATGCCAGTGAGAGTGCGGGAAGCCCTCACTGAAGAAAAGGTTGATGTTGCTGCAGTGCGCTCACAGCGCACTGAAGCTAACGAGTCATCAGATGAGTTCATACTGGCTCGTGAAACGGTAGTCCGTTTTGTGCAAGACTCCATCGCCGAAGCGGTGGATAAGCAAAAGCAAAACGCTGACAAGAATGGAAGGGCAAACACTCTTTTATTTAATAAAGGTGACTTAGTCCTACTGTCTACGGTTAATCTACCAAAGCATGTAGTGACTAACTTGGGTAGCAGTAAACTACTACCCAAGTACATCGGCCCATTTCGTGTATTGCACCGCCTAGGCAATGCATACACGATCGAGTTGCCACGTAAGATGCGAACGCATCCCACGTTTTACGTTGGTCGGCTTAAGCCGTACCATCAGTACGCTGCTTCTTCCGATGAAGAACGCCCTTGCGCTCAAGCATCTCGCAGAGAGCCTTGTGCTCCCGATGGTGGGCATCGACAAGGGTCTGAAGAGCAGTTATCTCATCCCGAGACCGATCAACAATCCCACGAGCTACCCTTAGCTCGTCACGAAGAGATGTCAGAGCTCTCTCGTTCTCAAGCTGAGCAAAGGCAAACTCAGCTCGATGCTTCGAGACAGTGTCCGCCATTTGGAGACGCCTGTCCCGCTCATGTTCGAGATCGCCGCGTAACCCTTGCGTTACGCGATCAAAGAAGCTCTCGGGAACACACGGATCCCCATGATCGTGTGGAGAGCGTCTTTCCTCCTCCTCCACCTCCATTAGAGGACTCTCGCGGTGGCCAGCGCTATCTAGTTGAGCAGCTGTTGAACCACCGCGACGTGAACGGACGTCGGACGAGTTATCTCGTCCGGTGGCGCGGCTATCCCCCGTCCTGGGATACTTGGGAGCCCCGCTCCCAACTGATGGTTGACGTACTGGGTCTGGTTGAGCAGTACGACGCGGCACATCCTGTGCCGCAGAAGGACCGCCGGAGAAAGTCTTCCCGGCACGGTCGTAAAGGGATTTCAGGTTGTCAATCCCTTCGTATATCTCAGTAGAGATACGTACGCGCCACCACGGGCTATTAGGGAGGTAAGCCTCCTTAGGTGCTCGTGCAGAGTTGTTCACACAACATGGGCACGAGTCTCCCCAAGAGAGGCAGGGTAATCCCTTCTCCCTTGACAGACGATGCAGCTTGTAGCGTGCACCTGTCGGGGTTCGCTTTTCAAACTTATCACGAGCTTTGATAAGTTTGTCGTTCCAAGCGTCACGACCTACATCCTCAAGGTTATGGATGTAGGCGTTCCACGCCTGAAGCAGTGAGGGACCATCACGCTTGTGATTCCCACTGTACCATCGATGTCTAAAGAAAGCATCGATGAAGAATTCATTCTCAGCGCGATAGTTTTTCGCGCTGGGGTCAAGGTGATGGATCCTTGACGAATCGAACAACCGTGTTCGATAACGATCACTCGTCGTCGCCGACAAGTGATCCATGACAGATTTGGGAGGCATCTATGCCTTCTTCTCAGGAGCGAGACGCTAGACATTGCGGTCCCGCTCTTCCTGCGATGTGCCGACAGAAGGACTGGCACCTCGTTGCGAAGTGGTGTCCATAGGAGAACCGACACCACTGTTAGCGCCCGAGTCTCGCGACCTCGAGCGCCTTCGCTTCGGCGATGGTTCATCTGATTCATCAGATGAACCAAAGATGCTGCGACGCATAGCATCATACATGCTACGCTTGGCAGGCGGCTTGGATTCGATCGCCGTCGATACGGATCCGTCTTCCGTATCAGGAGAGTATGAGACACCGAGCTCACACTCTGTGGAGACATGAGTGTCTTCGTGACCAGCGCCTGCCTCACCAAGTGACACAGGCTGAGTCGCTTCAGCAACCGATGAGACATCAGTTGCTGTGGTTTCTGCTTCGGCGTCCGCAAAGAGACGTGCGGACGCGCTCTCGGCGGCCTTGCTCGCGCATCGCATGGGCTTGTTAACCATGCGATGAAATGTTGGAAAGTGGACTCGGACCAACAAGTGCAAACCCTGTCCCAAATGATTTGGGACGAGTATCCATTTAGTCAATCAGTCACTAAAGTGACTGATGGTTAAGGGGGGTGATGTAACGGGGTGAATCGTTACATAACAATTTATAAGAAATTGTTAATAGAATATAACTATAAGAGTTATATTCTCAGAATATTGTCATAAGGACAAATATTCTGTAGCACTTACGAGTAGTTCCTAATTGGTTGATATAGGCCATTATATCAACCAACGAAGACGCGCCACGACAGACGCACGCAATGAGTGGTGAGCAGATAGTTGATTTACACATTTGTATTTAGACATAGTTAGATGAAGATAAATAGTGATTTATTGCAGACATTAACTATTATAAATACAGTTCTACTTTTTACTTTAACCAAGTACTCGCTTCTTCTTACCGTCTTCCTCTGCACGTACGAGTGTACGTGAAGTTACGAGGCAACGCCTTATTCTGTCATCAGAATAAGTAGCTTGTACTGTCACCAGTACAAGCTTTAGGGTGCCCCGTTACAGGCGTAATCGCCCGCAGGCTCATATCTGTAGCCAGAAGATTCGAGAAAACTGTAGACGCCTTGTTCAACGAAAAGCTATAATTGTCTTACGACCCATTGCAGCCCAAATTTACTGTCGGGAGAGTAAACATGTAAAGGTCGCGGAGCGGATCAGAAGGCAGCCTTAATATAAGTAAGTGCATGCTCACCCCACACGGACAAACTTTTGACATTTACACGTATCTTCGTATCTCCACGCAAAGTGTCCATCTCTTTTTTTAACCGTTAACCATCTATCACTAATTCTGTTTATGCTACTGCTTAAAGCGCGGAGGTACGCACCACAGTAACTGCACACTTGTGCAAGCGGTTCCTGCAGCTCATTTTTTGAATGCGATACAGCTCGAAATTGCCGCCTGCGCCTAAAAGGTCGCTCTTGTTGGCTGCAGGCACCAACGCACGTACCTCTTTGACAAATGCTGCACAATTGTCATGTGGATCACCTTGGTCTCGCTATTACCTCAAGCTGAAAACATCACACAATAACAGGTTATCACGCTTAACTTTATCAGGGAGTACGTGCCGTATACACGCGCTCGTTGGGGCGTCCGTGAAATATATTTAGGTAGCGCTTCTACCGAATCACGTGGTCTTCCAGGCCTGAAGTGGATAGCAACTCATATTAGCAGGTATTGCACCAAAGCGAAGTCAACACACATCACGTACACAGGACCTGTAACGGGGTAGCCCGTTACATGAATGGACACCAAACGGTGTCAATAGGGTGATTGTCTAGCACGACAATATCCTACCAATAATATAAGAGATGGATAATATTGAAAGAAGATTATCCAAGATGGATAATGTTGAATGAATATTATCCCCTTTGTACGATAACATTCATGCGCTGCTCAAAGATTGGTTGATAAAGACATATCAACCAAGGTTACCACAAATCGCTGCTTGACGCGCGTGATGAGTGGTGAGCCGGTTATCGTCATACGACACTGTAGAATAATATAGTTAAATAAAGACCATAGTTATATTGATAGCTTAACTGTTTTAATACAGATCTATCTTTTTACCTTTACTTAAATTAGCTGTTTGAGCATTAGCTTCCTCTGCACGTACGAGTGTACGTGAAGTTTCGTGGCAATCCCAAACAAAGGGTGCCCGATACACCTGGTAGCACTTCGTAGTTCGTCCAACGACTTTTTACTATCCGTTTAACATGATCGTGTTGGACGTAGATGACGACAGCTATCACGTCATACGTGAAGGCTACTAGCATTTGAGTGACTCAGAATGGGAGATAGTCGGCCGCATGAGTGTGCTCGTTGGCGAACCCGCCATCAGTGGCATGTGGAGTCTGTAATCAGAGACCAGCAACATGCTGCTATCAACATGTTGCTACAAGGGGAACTTGCTGTCAAAAGACAGAAGATTGCCTTGCTACAACAGCAAGGCTCTCATCAGTCGATGGGCGGGCCGACGCACACTCGTCGACCTGATACCTTAAAGATAGATATCTCAAGGTACGAGGGAACCGATGAAGATTCCCTTTTAAGATGGTTTGTCGAGTTCGACGAAGTCATCAGGGCCCGTCACATAGAGGGTGACTAGAGGCAAGTCACCTTCGCCCTGTCAAATGTGACAGGACGAGCAAAAAAAACTTGGGCATTAGGGATCAATCTTTACGACCCAAACGTGTTTGAGTCGTTAGAGACCTTGAAGTCTCGGCTTAAAGAGACGTTTGAGTCGCCAAGAGCCGAGTTTAGAGCACGCTCAGCACTCTTGAGGCTAAAGCAAGGTAAGCGTGATGTGCATGCTTACGCACAACACCTACGCTACCTTGCAAGAAGCGTCACGAAAAACCCTGTCGATGAGCACACGCTCATTAACGTGTTCATCTACGGCTCTGTAGATGGGCCAGTGAAGATCTACATGTTCCGAGAGGACTTCTATACGCTGGAAAGGCGATTGAGTATGCGGAACAAGAAGACTTCAGCCTGAGACAGTCTCAGGCTAACTCGTCCAACTATCGTCCGACGAGACGATAGGAAACCGGAGGTCCCGATCCAATGGACCTATGTTATGTCGAGTGCGAGAACCCTCGCTCTCTTAGTCACAAGCGAACGGCAAGATGCCATCGCTGTCAGAAGATCGGGTGCTACGCCCATGAGTGTAGTGTCCAAAGCACCGCATCACGTCCAAAGACAGGACGTGATGACCGCCGTCGACCGAGGAAAGGTCCAAGGCGTGGGTCCGACAATGTCGCTAAACCGCGACAGCAAGTCGGACCGCCAAAAAATGGACAGGGTCAGTACGGGCAAAGCACCCTGCTGATCCAGCAACGTCAAGAGAATTTGCAGGACTCTTGACGAAGATTACTCCCAACACACAGTCACTGTGTGCTACTGCCCCTAGTGATGAGGTATCCCAAATCACTTTGGAGACCGAAGTGACAAGTGGAACGTCACTTTGCGCCCTAGTTGACTGTGGAGCGTCGAACAGTTTTATTTGACTCCAGTCGAAAGAGGATAGTAGACTCAACTATGTTGAGCGAGAGTTACCTCCAGCGAGGATGACGGTCGCCTTGCGACAGGCGCATCCGTAAAAGTGAACAAACGTGTAGTGGATCCCCACTACACGCCAGAAGGAAAGCAGTACAATGAAATCTTCATTATACTAAATTTAACCGACAAATTTGATGTCATCCTCGGTCTGCCAAGGCTTAAAAAATACCAGCCATGGGCTTGCTGGCAGCATCGATCCGTGAAGATGCCTGCCGTGTGTTCATCGGATGGCCATCTGATGATCGTCTTGGAGCGTCCACAAGCGTGCGGATGTACTACGAGTGAGTGCGATGGCCTCACTTGTGGGACGGTCTTCGTACGACTGCACAAGATCACAGTGTAGAAGGCCACTACACTGTGGAACCAGCTTCCAGCACCTGTGTAGCGACACAGGCTTCGCCGAAGGTTCACCACTCGAGGAGGTCGAGTGGACTGGAATACGGATGCACACCAAGAAGGGTGCATACAAGAAGAGAAACTAGTGTTGTTCAGGATGAACAACATGTTTAAGCGAGATAAATTATTAGAGAGTCGATCGTAGAGCAAGCCCGATCGACTGAAAGAGAGTCGATCAAAGAGGACGTGATTGTGGTAGTACATCCAAAGTCAGTACACGTATTGGGAAAAAGTTTCAGCGTTCCTGAGAGTGATAACTCCCGATAGAGTTATGTTGAGGGTGTGGATCCCCAACCACCTGCGGATGTTTTTTTTTTAGGAAACCACCGAGACAGTGAATTTCTTGGTTAATGACGGATCAAGAGTAGGCGCTTATACACCAGATTTGGCTAAACCTCCGAAGCTGAATTCGGAGGCAATTATGCTGCCAACGCTAGAACCTAAAATATTTTTTGCGAGATCTGCGTATGGAAAAGATCAATCAGATCTGCGTACTAGCCACAGAGGACGAATGGGTCGCCGATATTCGTTCGGCACAAGTGTTTACTGAGAACGAACGGATTCTTAGTCGCTCATCGATGGAATTAGAGTGTCCTTAATGAAAAAGATACAATTGAGCAATGCACGTCTTAATCTCGGTAGTCTTTGAAGACAGATCCTTTGCATAAGGATTTGGTCGAATTTAGGGATGTTTTCCCTGAATCTGTGCCATGCGAGCTGGCCAAAGACCAAGCACACGGCCTGAGATCGAGCTGAAACCCGGTTCGAAGTACTGCGTCATGAAGTAGTGGCCACTGCCTAGTGAACAAATCACAGTGATCGACAACTTCTTTGCCTGTCGCTTAGCGGCTGGTCATGTGAGGGAATCAACTTCCCCACACAGCTCTCCGACCTTCTGTGCACAAATCGCCCAAGGGTGGTGGCGGATAGTGCACGCGTTCAAAAAATTAGACGCTGCAACGGTACCAGCTCAGACGCTGATACCTAGGAATGACGTAATCATTGATGGTATGTCAAAGAGTACCATCTTTTCGTCCATGGATCTGATGGATGGATTCTATCAGATACTCATGCGTGAACGAGACATCCCGTTAGCAGCAGTGATCACCCCAGCGGTATGCTCTGGGAGTGGCTAGTGATGTTACAGGGGCTAAGTAACTCCCCTGCAACGTTCGACAGATGTGTTACGAATCTGTTGCGATCGGTGCAAAATTTTGCACCGAGTTATTTTGACGATGTCTTCGTTTATAGCCGGGCTATGTATGGAAAGCCTGACGCGGAGGATCATAGAATTCACGTCCGGAAGGTCCTTACACTAATTCTAGAGCATAAGTTGTTCGCGCACCTGAAGATGTGTATATTCGCAGCGAGCGACATACCACTTCTTGGCTGCATCGTGGGTCAAAACGGCGTACGCCCTGATCCGGAAAAGATCGAGGCGATTATATACTGGTCTGTGCCAGTCGACATCAAG